GGCCAGCTCCCAGGAGAGCTAGGAGGGAGCGCCGCCACCTCCAGGCTGGCCTGGGCCTCCTGTGTGGACTGTTTTCCATTCTACATCCGTGTCCCTCCCATGGCACAGGGCACGCGATTCCCCTTTCGTCACAGTGGCCACAGTTGTGTCTCAGCAATTTTTGAAGGCATGTCTGATTTGCCATCAGGTCAAAGCCAGGTGCAAAGGGAACTCCCAGTGTCCAAGTGGGTGGCTTTCGAGGACAAATGGAGCCAGAATCCAGGACACTTGGGGGCGAGCCTGTCCCTGTGCACTCTGTGCCGCCAAGCCACTGGCCCACAAGGCAGCCAGTCAGTGACTGCTCATCTAAAGCCAGGAGCCCCCAGGGTGAGCCCACCACACAGGTCTCTGCACTGAGCCCTCCTTGCCCACCTGACCAGTGCCTTCCCCTCCCCACAGGCTGACTTCTGACCCTGCCCTGTGGCGCCTGGGCTGGAGCCATCACTGCTCCCCGTTCGCTGCCTGGGGTCATGGCACCTGCGTTGGGCTGGGGCAGGTGCCTGTCCTGAGGAGAGTGAGAGCCTCACCCCGAGCCAGCTCTGTCACCACCCCAGGCCTGGTGGCCTCTGGGAAGAGGAAGGCCTCTTGTGCAGGGGATCCTCAGGGGCTGAGGTCCCCACAGGTGGTGAGCATGCTGAGAGTGGGAACGACAACAAGGTCCCCCAATTCCCTCTCTGCCTACAGACTGCTGCCTGCCCTCCCAGCCTCCCTGCTCCACGGCCACCCTGCAGACCGTCCCCCGCCGCCCTGTGGGCCGCCCCTTCCCCACACAGCCTCTCTCCAGTCTCCGGTGTGCTCGAGGCTGCAGCCGCCCCTTCCCTCCTGTTCCGGCTCTCTTGAATGGATGGAAATAAAAGGGAAAGTGTTTATTTGTTTCATCTGAGTTTTCCTAACTCAAATGCAGAATACAATCTCCAATGTCACGAGTGAATACATGGCACCCTTGCCCTGCCAGGCTCCACTGCTGTTCAACTTCCTGCGCTGGGACACGCCTTCCTACACCAGCCCTGCACCCCGGCCCCTCAAGGCCTAGGCCTCCACCTGCCCCTCCCCCCGCTCTCTGCCGACCACCTAGCTGGCCCCAGTGACGGCTCCACCAGCACACCAGCCCCTGCTGGCCCATACGCCTCCAAGGGCAGTGGTCAGCCTCACTTGGCAGGAGGGCTCTGGAGCTCGGGCTGAAGGAGGTGCAGGCCCTGGCCTAGGCCCTGGCTAAGCAAGCAGGGACCCCCGCCCTGGGCAGCCAGCCCTAGAGGAGCCATGGACAAGGATGAGGTGAAGAGGTTTTTCCTGATAGCGTGGAGTGCTGTGAGCACAAGACAGCTGGGCTGTGTCAACTACCGACCATGGGCAGGGTGCCGGGGCCCAGGGGTCAGGAAGCCACGTCTATGGGGGAAGGGGGAGATGGTATTGTCACCCCCACTTCACAGATGAGGGGACTAAGGCCTGCCGCTGAGCCTTCCTCCAGGATGGGGGAGAACTAGCCTGGAGCCAGAAGAGCCTGGAGCAAACCCCTCCTGTAGGCCGCCTCCCCAAGCCAGGTCCACTTGGGCTGCAGCCAAGGCTGCAAGGGCTCCAAACCACAGGCTGGGCCACACCAGAAGTGCCCAGAGGGACCGGCCCTGGTGCATCTGTCCCTGTGTCCTCAAGCTTCTGCCTTCTTGCCTTGGCCTCTGCCTTTTCTCTCTCCTCTGCCTTCCATCTGCCGGTCTGTCTCAGCATTTGTCGAGTCTCCATGGCTCTCTGCCTGTCTCCTCTGTCCATCCCCTCCTCCCACACCTCGGTCCCCTCCTCCTGCATCTGCATCTTCTGCATCCTGTCCTCTCCTCCCTGCTCCTCCATCTCTCAGGGCCCGGACTTGGGGGCGTGGTCAGCGGGACGGGGTCTGTAGAGGGCGGGGTCCCGTTGGGGGCGTGATTGAGGGGCGGGGCCTTCTGGGACACCGCCTCCGAGACGCCCTCCAGCCTTCCTCTGGTGGCTCCTTTCCAGTCTTGCCCAATCCGGGACTTATGCGCTTGCCTCAGCCACCGCAGGAATGAGGTGCCGCCCGGCCCCCGCCCTGCGTCCTTCCGGCCTCCGCGACCCTGGCCCCCGCGGCCCCTCGGCCAGTCCTCCCGGGCCATCAGGACCCGCGGAACACCGCCGTGCTCCCGTGGGGAAGGGTGGGCGCGGAGCCCGGGGCCCCACTGGCAGCTCTTAAGAACAGACACGGAAAGTGCTGAAGGTCACCTCGCAGGGGCACCGGCCGGGCCGCGCGTGACCCTGCCTCCGGCCGCGCTCCCGGGTGGGGACACTGCAGCGGCCCTGCAGGCGACGCGTTCACGGCCTGTTCATTCCTGCGTGAGCCTGCGTGCGCGCGGACTCCCAGCCCCAAGGAAGGCGAGACCGCGCGCTCACTCCCTCGGCCTCGGGCGCCTTCCTCCCCGCCCCGCCTGGACTGACCTCCGAGTGGCCCCGCGAGTGGGCGGCATTGTCGCCTCGCTTTACCCGCGGAGGAATCCATGCTCGTCCCTCTCCCCTGCATTCTGCGACACTCATGGAGCGCCTCGGCGCCAGGGGCAACTCTGTGCTGGGGACACGCAGGTCCCCGCAGACGCAGTCCCTGCCCTCCAGGGGCTCACGCTGCTTTGTAGGGGCTGGTAGGAGGGACTGGAGTTTTTCTGAGACCGCCGAGTGCCCTTGCAGGGAGGCGGGTCTCAGCTCAGCCTAGGGAGGGTCTTGTCTCCACCTGAGAGCATCCACCGTGGTCGTCCTGGTGGAGGGTGGAGTGGGCTCAAGTGTGTCCCCCCAAAATCTGTTGCTGTCCTAGCCCCAGCACCTGTGAAAAACGTGCCCTCACCTGAGAAGAGGGGCTTTGTGGGGAAAGGTCTTGAGAGGAGATCGTCCTGGAGGAGGGTGAGTGGTGAATGTCCTTATGAGACACAGAAAAGGAGACAGGGAGAGGTCGTGTGATGGTGGAGGCGGAGGCTGGAGTGATGCGGCTACAAGTTCAGGAACCTCAAGGGTCACCAGCAGCCACAGAAGCTGGAGAGAGGCAGGAAGGGTCTCCCTCAGAGACCCCAGAAGGAACCAACCCTGCCAACACTTTGATTTTGGACTTCTGTCTTCCAGAACTGGGAGACAATAAATTTCTGTTGTTTCAAGCCCCCCAGCTTGTTTGTTATGGCAGCCCTAGCAAACTAATACAGGGGGGTGAGCTCCCCATTGTAGGAAGTATGCAAGCAGAAAGTGGATGGCCATGGGCAGGGCGTTGTAGTGAGGAGCAGCCCTGGGGACTCCATGCATCTATTCATCCATCTATTGGGAAGAGGCGGAGAAAACAGTCAGGACACAGCGCCTGCTGCTGGGGCCTTTCCTCCAGACCAACGCTGGGCAGGCTGTCCTTCAGTCCTCACCTGCTCCCCAGCAGGGCGGTGAAGCCCCACTTCCAGATGCAGACAGTGAGGCCCAGGGTCACACACTGCTGAGTGGAGCTAGGAGAGCCCAGGTGTCACTGCCTCCTCCGGCCCCTCCTCCTGGAGGGTCTTCATGTCCATCGAGTTTGTGGCTTCCACCTTAGAGAACGGCGCCTTAATGGTGTAGTTCTGGCCCCTGCCAGCAGGTGAGGAAAGAGTGGAAGGCAGCTCGACCACTCTTCCCCCAGCCCTTCCTCAGGTGGCATTTCAGGCTCTGATTTGAGAGACCCAGGGCAGACAGGGCCCTCAGCTGGGGAGGGTGGCCAGGGCCCCAGGGGGACCCCAGCAGGCCCTCCCCAGGATGGCATCCAAACCCCAGACATTCAAAACTTTGCAAGATCCTGGGGCCAGCCCAGTGGCATAGTGGTTGTGTTTGCACACTCTGCTTCGGCAGCCCAGGGTTCACGGGCTCAGATCCCGGGCACGCACCTACACAGCACTCATCAAGCCACGCAGTGGCAGTGTCCCACGTATAAAGTAGAGGAAGATGGGCAAAGATGTTAGCCCAGCGCAAGTCTTCCTCACCAAAAAAAAAAACTTGGCAAGATCTGGCTCCAAACTGTCTCCTTTTCAGAATAACCAAGGCACCCCTAGACCCACCCACCAGCCAGCAGCACTGAGTTGGGGGCGGTGGGGGGCTCCTGCGCCTCCTTAAATAAAGCTTCTTAGGGTGCACTACACTTTAACGTTTCCAAGGCATCCTCATCCCCTCCATCTCAGACTTTTTAGCTTTAACTTTTGTTGAATAAGACCACAGAAGCTTGGGGCCAGCCCACTGGTGGTTAAGTTCGCGCATTCTGCTTTGGTGGCCCGGGGTTTGCAGGTTCAGATCCCAGGTGCAGACCTAGACACTGCTCATCAAGCCATGCTGTGGCAGCGTCCCACATACAAAGTGGAGGAAGATGGTCACGGATATTAGCCCAGGGCCAATCTTCCTCACAAAAAAACAAACAAAAAAGACACAGAAGCCCAAAGTAGAAACCTGAAGACACTCACCAGCCCCAGCCCCCCAGGTCTCTTCTGGAACCTCTCCCACCTGTGCAGGAGGAGGCAGACACTGACGTCCACCTGATCTTGATCATCTTAGGTAAAAAATGGGACCAGCCTCTTGTCCACCAACAGGGGACAGGAGAAATCAACCCCGGAAGAGTACCACACAACACATAAAATGAGTGAGCCCCCCACCCCAGGTATCCCGGTCACCAGGTCCAAAGAGCAAAAACATAACAGAAGCAAGTTGCAGAAGGATCCTCAGGATGCGACCCTTTTATGGAAGGTTCGAGAATGTCACACAGGCAGGACCCGGTCACAGCTCCCTTTGCAGGTGCTTAGCCTGGGGTAGGGTCCCTCTAGTGGGGGAGGGAGGGTAACAGCAGGAGGGATGGGGTGGGGGCGGGCATGGCCTGCCCTGGGCTGGGAAGGAGGTGACAGTCAGACCGCAGGGCGGGAAGGAGGAAGCGCGGCCAGGCACTTCCCCAGGAGGAAGCCATGCCCGGATTTTCCCCAGGTGTGGCCCGAGGTATAAAGGGCGCCGTGAGCCAGCCGCCACCAGGTCTGCCACCAGGTCTGCCACCAGGTGCACCCCAGGACCGCTGCCAGGTGTGCCGGCCGCTCTGAGCCCAGCCGCTGTGATGGTGAGCAGCCGTCTCTCCCCCACGCCCCCACCTGGATGGTGTCACCTGGACCTGAAGTGGTGGTGGTTCGCTGACCCCCGAGCTGAGGGTGTCGGGATGGGGTCCAGGAAGCCCCTCAAATCTGGGGGCAGGAGGGAGCCAGGACCCAGGAGCCCTGGTGCACTGGAGAGCTTGGACTGAGGGGCGAACCCCTCTGTGCCTGTTTCCCCAACTGTAGAGAGAGGACTGTACCCCATCTTTCCACAGGCTACAGGGCAAGCTGGGGTGGCAGTGAGGTGCCCCCTTCGCTGGGCACCCCTTGACCCCCCACTGCCTGTTTCACCAGATCCTCCCTGGCCTCCTGCTTCTGCTCTGGCTGCCCGCCAGCCTGGCCCGCCATGGCCCCCCACTCTGGGGGGGTCTCCACACCCACGGGACTCCACGCTGCTACTCGGCGGAAGAGCTGTCCCTGGGCCAGGTCCCCCCACACCTGCTGGCTCGAGCTGCCAAGTGGGAACAGGCTTTGCCAGTAGCCCTGGTGTCCAGCCTGGAGGCGGCATCTCGCAGGAGGCGGCAGGAGAGGCCTCCGACTGGGACCCAGTGCCCGGTGCTGGGGCCCGAGGAAGTACTGGAAGCAGACATCCACCAGCGCTCCATCTCGCCCTGGAGATACCGGTGAGGGCCACGGGGGCTCCCTGGCACCGGGGTCCCCACTGTGTGGCGTTGGGCTGCTCCCTCCCCTCTCTGAGCACTGGCTTCCTGCAGACCCTCAGCCTCAGTGTTTTCACCTGTGAAATGGGACACTCACTCTGACCTCCCACCAGCCAGCCCCAAGGGCCGGGAGAGTGGGGCTCCATCAGATGAGCTCCTGCTTCCACTGATGTCTCAGCCCAGATCTCGCTTACCAGGGTCCCCTGGGGACATTCTGGGGCCCCCACTTGAGCCCCTGCAGAGGTTGGGCTGGGCCCAGTGGGGAGGGACGAAGGGGCTCCTGGGAAGCCCCTACCCCTGCTTCTGTGCTCTGGGAGGGCAGAGGGACACATGGGCAATCGTCACTTATTAAGCACCAACCGCATGCGAGGCGCTGTGCTGTGGTGCCCTATCCCACCCTCCCTGCAGCCTGACTCCCTCAGTGCCGGCAGGAAGGAGGAACGCCCACTGCGCAGGTCCCCTGCCTGCCCGCCGGCCAAGGCTCTCTGCGGGCCAGGACGCTCACCTCATCTCTCCCCACAGCGTGGACACGGACGAGAGCCGCTACCCGCAGAAGCTGGCCTTCGCGGAGTGCCTGTGCAAGGGCTGCATCAGCACCAAGACGGGCCGTGAGACGGCCGCGCTCAACTCCGTGCCGTTGCACCAGAGCCTGCTTGTACTGCGCCGCCAGCCCTGCGCCCCGGACGCCTCGGGGGAGCCCGCGCCCGGCGCCTTCGCCTTCCATGTGGAGTTCATCCGCGTGCCCATCGGCTGCACCTGCGTCCTGCCCAGGACGGCCCGGTGACTGCCGGCCCCCGCTGGCCCCACTGTGCTGGGGGGCACGGACGGCATCCCACAGTGGACAGTCGGGGTCTCTCTCCAGAGGCCCCTCCTATTTATGTGTATTTATTGGTTATTTATGTGCTGCCGGGGCGGCCCCGGCTCCACTGCCCGTGGAGCCCCTGGGCTCCAGGCCTCTGGTTTGAGGAAATAACGGAGACAGGCGCTGGAAGGGCCATGTCCCCGGTGCCTGGAGGGGTGACCTTGTGCTGGGCAGTCCCCATCTTGAGACTCAGTTTACCCTTTCACAAAAACAGACAGTTGGGCTGGAAGGAATCTTTTTACTCTTCTAGAACTTATTAAAATGACAGAAAAGCCTCCCTCCACCTTGGTGGTCCCCCTCGCCCCATCGCTGGTCTTGGGCTGGTCCAGGCCACCCCAAGGTCCTTCTTCCAAGCCCCACCCCGCAAGGAAAAAGCACCCTTGTATTTCTAAAACAATTATTTATTTTATTTTATTTTTATTTTTTATTTTTTTGTGAGGAAGATCAGCCCTGAGCTAACATCCACGCCAATCCTCCTCTTTTTGCTGAGGAAGACCGGCTCTGAGCTAACATCTATTGCCAGTCCTCCTCCTTTTTTCCCCAAAGCCCCAGTAGATAGTTGTATGTCATAGCTGCACATCCTTCTAGTTGCTGTATGTGGGACGCGGCCTCAGCATGGCCGGAGAAGCGGTGCGTCGGTGGGCGCCTGGGATCCGAACCCGGGCCGCCAGTAGCAGAGCGCGCGCACTTAACCGCTAAGCCACGGGGTCAGCCCACAATTATTTATTTTAAATGTAACTATGTGTTATTAAATTGATAAACACTCCCCAGAGCACAGCATCGGATGGCACTGCCTGGCCCTTGCTGGGCACACAGGGGCAGCCACTGGCCCAGATTGTGGTGTGTCTTTCCAGAAAGGTCTCTGCGTGACCCCCAAGTGCGTCTGGGGTGGGGGTGGGTTCTAACGCGGAGTGGAGCACAGGTGCGCCCTGCTGGCCTATGTGGCGAGCCCTCCTGGCCTGAGGATGGGCCTCGCTCCCACAGCCCGGCTGTGATGTAGGCGGACCCTCCTCCACTGGAGGGCCTGGGCATGGCCAGGCCTTTGCTAGGACGGTGAGCAGCTCATGGCAGGCGTCTCTGAGGGTAAACTCCCAGTAGGGCGGCTCAGGAGACACGCCTTTGCAGCCTGGCTGAGCGCCATCACCTTTGAGATGTCTGAGCACCCCCCAGCGGAGGCCCAGGCAGATCTGTCTGAAGTCCCGTCCCTCGGCCCAGACGCCCCCTCGTGCTTTTGTCCCGAGTGGTGACCTGCCAGACCAGGGGCGGCCGAGCTGGCCGGCACCCCCAGACCAGGCGCCCCACTCTTACTGCAGAGTGTCCTGGATCAGAGCACACTTAGGCACGCTGGGGTCGGGGGCACTTAGTGAAGGGGTGCAGGAGCATAGGCAGTTGTGGGAAAGGGCCCTGGGGCAGTTCTGGATCAGCTACAACCCCCTGAGGACCCTCAGTGTCCCCGCTGGAGATGCGTGGGCCCAGCCTGCTCAGGGCTGACGGGCTATGTTGGCGTCAGTGCCTCGCTGACAGCCCGCCGTCGTCACCCACTGACTGATGCCTACTGCACAGCGCCCAGGAGGAGCAGGGGTGGTGACCTTTGTCTTGAGCCTGGAGGGGCTCCTTGAAGTACTCAGCACTTACTTACTGAGTTTCCACTATGTGCCCGGCACCGGGAACAGGGCAATAAATGGCTGGATCCTTGCCCTTCCCACGGGGTGACTGTCCACAGAGCCGCGGAGGACTGGTCTGCTGGCAGTGAAGGAATTAGGACAGCAGTGCGGGGAAGGGGGAGGGGCTGCAATTCCGAACTGAGGGTCAGGGAGGCCTCAGAGGCCACCAAGCAAAGACCAGAGTGCCAGGGCCGGCCCGGTGGCGCAAGCAGTTAAGTGCTCGCGCTCTGCTGCGGTGGCCTGGGGTTCGCCGGCTCGGATCCCGGGCACACACTGATGCACTGCTTGGCAAGCCATGCTGTGGCAGCGTCCCATATAAAGCGGAGGAAAATGGGTACAGATGTTAGCCCAGGGCCAGTCTTCCTCAGCAAAAGAAAAAAAAAAAA